AAATCAATTAACAAACAGAGACGTAACAATATAATACTGAAACTTATGAAATTCTAATTAATATTAAACATTTAAATTGTTGATATGGCTCACATAAAAATTAAAGAACAAGCTACCTAGCATATGGACAAACCGTAACTGGCCAAAAACATGAGACCATTCAAATCCTGAATAGGATTACTTATAACCCTAACCAATGACATCAAACTTGTAAATTTTTATTCATTAGGCATAGAAAGTTGTGCTTGTCATTTCAAGGAAAGAATACAGTGATTTACCTGTCCAACAAGCTTAGGATTCCTAGTGCTTGTTATATCATACTGTCTTATATCACCATAGGTCCAGTTACTGAAGTAGAGAAAACGGTCATCCAGTGATATCAATATATCAGTTATAATACCTAAAAAAAAAAAAGAAAGATGTAAGATTTCATTATTTCTACAAACATAATATGATGAGAAACCTGGTACTTTCCATAAGGTATACTTTTTAAAGAAATTTAAAATGAGAAATATCTGTAACCAAAATATAATTAGTTATGAATCAAATAATTACTTGCTAAATAGTCTTATGGGATATATATTATTCCTTATGTGTCATATGGTACACACTTACAAGCCTCACAAAAACAAGCACCAGAGAACTGCCTTTGCTGTAACAGTTTTCATTCTCATATGTGGGAGTTTTGGTATAGAATATATAAAACAATTTATATAAATACATAATTTTATTGAAAGTGACTCCTAATTAATTCTAATTAAAATAGAGCTAGTCCAAAGAATTTCTATGTAATGTTAGACTTAATATTTAATAATAAGGTGAGTAAAATCTAAAAGTTTGATACCATAAACTACTGTACAGCATTTATTTAAAACAGAAACATTTGCAGATCTCATTAACATTGGAGCTGGCTGATATTTGCTAATGATGTTGACAATTCCTTTTTATATTAACCCAAGACCTGAGTCTCATCCCATCAGTGATAAAACAAGTTCAACATGTATAGCTTTCTATTTCATTTTGATGTTAAAGTTACACATTAATTGAAAACATGTAATGATTATTTTTTTGGTTAAATCAGGGAAATGCTTCAACTCTTTAGCCATGAGTTTCAGATTGATGTTTAGTGTTTTATAGTTTTAAGTTAATATAGTTAAAATGATACTACAAGAAAACCAATTTTACTGTAACATTCAGTTTTAATAACAAATTAAGTTTTTAGTTTTTGCAAATAGCATTACTCACCAGGCATTGAAGGAAGCAGCCAGTTATCTACAGTTTTAGGTGGTATATCAATTACTTTCTCAAAATCCCACAATTCATCCTGAAAATATTTGTTTATATAGAATTCTTATTGAATTTTCAATGCAAATTAATTTCTCTGTAATATAATTAAACTAATTATACAATTTCTTTATGTTAATTTTTTGTTATCTATAAAATAATGCATTTTCTATCAACCACTCACACGTTCCACACCTAAGCCATTACAACATTTCTAAGTTCTGTTACGAATTAATTTTGTGTTTCTTTAAAACTCATTTCATTTGTTACAATAATTAATCAGTTTGGATTTCATTAACCTTAAGTGAATGTCTGAAAGTGATACTGTTGCCACACTGTGTTGTGATAATAACAGTGCACATTTTGCACAAAAAATGTGAGAAAGTAAGAAAGAGTACTTGTCATAAATGACTAATCCTTGCTTGAAATAATTAGTTAACACAACACAATCCAAAGTATTGGGACAGCAGACACTGTGAAAAGAACATCAAATTTTACTACTTCACTCCACTTTAATGGGCTGCAACTCCCACATTTGGCAATAACCATGCTAACATATGGTATCAACTGTTCATACACTTGCAGCTGAAAGAATAGATTAACACACCACTAGAAATTAAAACAGCTCAGAATCAGTCTCATTTGTCCCACATATGTTGTTCCCAAAAGCATTACACATGTTCAGTTGCAGACTGTGCAAGCTATTTGTCTTAAGTTACTGCTGGGCACAGTAGCATTAGGCTTATTACATTTTTAACACTAGAGGTAATGTTAAAATATACAATAAGCCTAATACTAAATATAATTGATTATAAACCACTTCACCAGCAAAGCAGTTCACACCATAGTAACTGTTACTCTAATAAATGAATTATATAAATAGCATTCTAACCACTACTAGTGTTTGTTTTATCCCAGCTGGTCTATGAGCTCTGTTCCTGGGCATTGAATATAACAAAATAAAATTTAAGGACAACAAGGAGCCTTGTGGTCCATCTAGGCCATTCCATTCACTAAAATAAACATTAAAACAAAATCCAAAACCAGCCCTTGTCATTCAAATATTTACAAACCCCTCCCTTAAACTCCATTAAATTTACTGCATCCACCACCTTTGAATGCAACCCATTCCAAAGGTCAACCACTCTGTTGGAAAAATAAAATTAGATCCCATCCCAACTCTTCCTTTGTCAAAAGAAAACAATATCAGAGATCTTAACCTGTTCTAATATGACAACCTTTCCATCTTGGGTAACATCTTAGTAGCCCTTCTCTGAAACCATTCCAACAATTCAATGTCTTTCCTAAGGTAAAAAGGCCATGACTGAACATAATGCTCTATACAATGAAACTATAGCCCCTTTAGATTTATACAGGGAATTCCTCGTTATACACCAGAGTTAGGGACCAGAAAGTTGCAACTTATAATGAAACAATGTATAACAGGGAATTTTCCCCCATAAGAATAATGGGGGATAGGGACTGTGAAAGTGTAAACACTGCCTATGCAACACAAAGCAGAGCCATTTCTCCTATAAGAAACAATGAAATATGGTATTGAATAGGGACCATAACTTCAGAAAATGTTGTGTTTTACACCTAGTAACCAAAATATGTACTGTACATGTACAGTACCTGTACTATATTATACTATACAACACATATTTATAACTAATTCTGAGTTCAAGGACCTTTAAACAGCATTTATATCTATCAAACACTCCATTGAAAACCATTTTTGTGAGCATTTTGAAGCAGCCATGTACACTTTAAAAGCATTTTCCTTTTTTTAATAGAAAACATATTTGTGACATTTTTAAGTAATGACTCAAACATAAAACCATTTTTACTGTAAAAAATCACAGAATATTAAACAGCATTTTAAAAAGATTTTACCATAACCTTTAATTTTTATGTTCTCATCTTAAAGAATGTAAGCATTGTGCTTGATTGGAGAAGGTGTTAGGAGAGGATTAGGTGGCGGATGAGAATGGAGATGCAGGTGTAAGGTCAACAACATCACTGAGATCTGCTGTCTTTATCTCAATGGAAGACATAGACTCAGGATTTTCATTCACTTGAGTGCCAGAAAGGCCTGCTTTGGGTTCCTTGGGTGTTTTTGTAAATAAAGAAACCAGAGTTGTCTGCTTTCCTACTTGCAGTTTTGCATAAATTTCACAGTAGCATGCCAAGAAATCTCTAACAGTTTGTGTCACCTTTACAGATCCATACAAAAGTTCTTGAATAACATTTATTGCTTTGAAATGCTCAAACATATTTCTTAGCACCTTGACTGTGAATCCTCTCTGTTGAGAAGAATCCTCCTCATTATCGTCCATAGTTTCTTCTTCAAAAGTATGTTTATCTAATTTAGCAAGATCTTCATTGCTTAGAGGCATACCATGCAACTACAAAAGCTCTTTGACATCATTTTTCCCTACTTCTTTGAAGCCCACTTCTTTTGCTAGTTGCACTATTTCACTACATATATGTGATGTCATCAAATCCTGCAAAGAAGTGCACTGCATCAGGATATGCTTTCTTCCATGCACGGTTCATTATGTTGTTCGAAACTTCATCCAAAGAAGAACAAATCAACAAAGTACAGTTAAAAATCTGCCTTGTTACCCAGGCCTTGCAATGGGATTTCTATATTACAGGAAGCTGGTATTTCACAACATTTTTCAGTACTCATGGATTTTCACTTTTGTACACGAGCAATGACTTTAATGTCACCATTAGCATTACCTCCTATAAGGAGAGTTAGCCGATCCTCTGTGGCCTTTAAGCCGGATGCAGTCTTCTTGTTGACAGTAAAGTATGTCTTAGAAGGCTTGTTTTTCCAATACAGCTCAGTTTCATCAACATTAAATGCCTGTATAGGATCATATCCATCTTCTTCAATGTTTTTTTAAGTTTCTCCAGAAATGCTTTTGCAGCATCTACATCGCCACTGACTGACTCTCCCTGAATTTTTATGTTCTTGAAACTATATCATGCTTGGAATCTGTAAAACTATTCATGTGTAGCCTTGTATGTTTATTCTCTATCTGCTGCTTCTCCCAACTCCTTTTTCAAGTCAACATACACTTGTTGGAGGAAGTTGCAAATGGCACCCAATATCAACTGCATGTACACCATTTCTACTGTACTTTATTACTTCCATTTTATCATCAAGCATAATATTTATGTACTTTTTCTTATGCTCATCACCTGCACTCACTAGCACTACATTTGCTACTCATTATTGAAGGGTTGCAACAATACTTTGCAATAAACATATCAATTACAGGTGGGTGATTACATTCAAAATTTTATTAGACTACTCTTTGTTTATGTTATACCTATTAGTATAGCACAAAATCTTAGCTAATAATACATATGTTACTAGTATATAAGTTTTAAGTTCTTAATTCTATAAGGCAATATTTAAAAATATCCTGAATTTCCCCTAGTGCGACTCATGTGACACATTTTCTCTAGGTATCTTCTCTTCTATATTTTTCAATAAGTATGAAATTAAGTATAATTAATTACTATAAAATGGTCATTGTTCAGACAAACCATAATTTTTATAACCTTCAATTTTGTTTGGTTACAGAGTTATCAAATAGAAAATCAGATTTCTCCTGCCACATCCACTTGTCACATACTCTCTTTTAGTATTTGTTAACAGTTCTCTCTTATGTTTAACTACATATTACCTATAACCAATAGAAAGAGAAGGTTTTCATCTATCAAATTACATATGATATAACATTGTGTTCTCAACAGATAAGCATCAATTTCATTCCTGTGGGAAAGTTAATGACTAGCTTGGTTGAACTTGTAACAGCTCTTGTTGCATAGTTAGAAAGATAGAAAAATTTTGAGAGTTAGGGGAAGTTGTGCACCTTTTTTACATTATTAGTTTATGTTCGTTGGTGCAATATTTAATTAAATACAAATTATTTAGTGCATTACTACCATTAGTACAAAAAAGTAGGGTTAATTGTTATCGACAATAAAAAATATGAATTATTGTATGTGAAAGACTTATAATGTTAACTGAAAGACTGCCAAATTTCGTGAAGATATACACACTACATTGACAGTTAGAAGTATTAAATCTATAAAGACTTTAAAATGGGTACAAAGAGGTCACATGGTTGGTCATATTGACCGGGCCTATAGTGAGAGAGTTAAGCAGAACTGAGTCAAAAACTATGAACGATATATGTTCAAAGAAATTTTACGTTGTGTTCCTCAAAATGTCTGTAATGTAAGTGCGAAATGTATATCAGAACGACATATAATAAAGACCCCCTGTATTCCATATTTCTATAAAAATAACCAAAAATCCTATTTGCCCTATCACTAACAACAGTACACTGCTTTGGATGGCTTAAAACAGAACAACAAGATATTTTTCTTAGTTAAGGTTATTGTCATCAGTTATACATATAATTTAAATTATGATAACCCACATGCATTTCTTTGTATTTATTGTAATTAAAATCCATTTAGCATATATTTGCCCAACTCACCAAATAATATATATAAATATATCCTTTTCTAAAGCAGCAGCATCTCCTCTCAGCCAACAATGTTGTAATTTATTTGTTAGCCAGATGGAGCTGCAAGTTCTTGATAATGTCATGTGACATTAAATTCACATTAGTGGATATGCAACAACATTCTGTGAATCATCAAGTAAGAGTTGGGATACAAAATAAGTTGATTGATTGTACATTAGTCCAGTACTGTTGTTAGAGAGGTAAAATGTCATTTGTAAGAAACATATAAAGTAGGAAATAAACTGATTTTTGTCTCATTAAGTAGACTAGACTTTGAATTACTTTCACCTAACAATTTAAAAAGAACCTGCCTACCAAACAACAACATTACTGTACTGCTGTCACTGTCTCACTCTTCTTGATCTTAATGGAATTTTTTGGCCCACTTCTCCTGATGTTGTTTTAATAATTTCATGATCTCAACTAACAATTTAATTTAATTTTTGACCTCATAGTTCAAAAATCTATTTTACTTTCACCAAAA